AAATTGATTTGTGTTTAGTTTGGTTTGTGTTTTGTGGTTTTTTTCTCCAGAAAGTCATTTGAGCCGAGCATCTTGGCATTATGGCATCATCAGCATCAGAATACAGTTGAACAGTTGAACAACCCCCAAACACCCGACCTACATTCGGACACGGCTAAAAGTGAGCCAGATAGTGGGCCTCGGCTGTGGATCTGGCAGACTCCAGCTGCTCCTTCAAGTTCTCAGCCTTGCTTTCGGCAGCTTTGACCGCCCGGTCCTTTGCAGAGACAAGGTTCTTGTAGTTTTGCTCCACCAGCTTCCACGCCTTGAGGGGTTGGTGCTGGGATCGATTGGGTTTGTGAAATTTTTAAGTTGAGTATCTAAGGTTCCACCATCTTTTCTTTGGGGTACCTAAGGCTTGTCATGGGTTATATAAGGGTTTTTCTAGTTGTTCAATAGTGGTTTCTTTGGGGTTTATGGGATTTTACGTGGACTTTAAGCTGGAATGTGCGCATGCTCGCAGGGTCGGTGAGGTGGTAATATAGGGCCCTTGAGAATAAGGTTCGGGGGTATAGTATACTATAGTAATTGGAATAAGGAACCCCCCAAACCCTAGTCTAATTTCTGAGGCCCCTACATTAGGGTGAAGGGTTCAGGCTCCTGCCTGTTTGAGATCTCAGCATGTGTCAGCAGAGCACCTGGGCATCTGAAGTGGTGACGATCCCAAAACACGGAGAGCCTGCCCCTCAGTGTCTCTAGAAGCCAGCAACAACCGAGGAGACAGAGCACCTGACGCTCTGCCTTTAGGGTTTGGGGTTTAGGGTTTGGGGTTTAGGGTTTAGGTGCAAACTCTAAACCCCTAAACCCCTAAATCATAGACCCCACAACCCTTAAATACTAAACCCGAACACCCAAAACCCAAAACCTCTTAACAACTTCCTAAACCCTAAACCCAGTTGACAACCTCGCAACTTAAAAAAATCTCGATTTGAAACTCAAGAGCCCGAGTCCTAAGCAGAGACAAGCCGCAACCACCAGAACCTGTTTATCTTGCATCCCCAATAAGCCAGGGCAATAAAAATGTCAAACTTTCAGATGGCTTCAAATTAGAAGAACCCAAAAAGTCTAAAGGTTGGGTATTGGAGAACTAGGTTATTGCCCAGAGGCACATTATGGAAATACGTCTCGAAAGCCATACTAAGGATGGTCTTTTGGGACCTAATTCCATAATGGTAGAAGAAACGAACCCTCTGGGTAGCCTAGACCCCAAACCCCGAAACCCGCAAATCCTAAACTCTATTGAACTGTAAGCCCTGAAAGAGTCTAACCCACAACCCTAATGTAGGGGCCTTAATAGTTAGACTAGAGTTCTTGGGGGGTTTATTACACTACAATCAGAATGAGGAGCCCCCTAAATAGTATCGGTAATTACTCAGGCCCCTATATTACCATAACTTAACGGTAGAATATAATATATAGAGCGTTTGTGTTGATTTACTTGTTTACGACCAAGGGAATCCCTGTGCTGTGAAGCGCTTGTAGTAAGCCCCGAAAGTTTGGAAACCGGATTAAGGACAAACAGTGCTGGGGTTTCCTATACATTACTCCTAAGTCTTAAGGACTGAGGCTATTGGGCTTCCAACGCTTGGGCTTCTACTATAGGAGGATTTCAGATCTGTGGCTCGGAGAGTTTTTGGAGGGTTGAGGTGTGTAGTTGCAGAGTTCATAAGCCCGAAAAAACTACAAACGTTCACTTTCAGATCTTTTGTAGCGAGTTCATGTCATCCGAAATTTAATTACTAAATTTGGTTACTGCCGCTCCAAGCCCTAAACCCTAAGTAGAGCTTCCGGGGTCCGAGGCTTTCAGGCTTTATCGAGGCCTTTAAAATTAGACTAGAGCTTTTTTCGCGTTCATCGTGACACGAGGACAATAGGATGTAGCGGGAACCCAAATTCAGCTTCGACATCACAG